TTTTTTTTTTTTGTTTTTGATTAGATGTGTTTTTTTTTCTTTTATTTGTTTATACTATTGCCAGTCTAGCCGTTTGGGGATACTACCTTAAAAAACTTTCACACTTTGGAAGTAATTCTTTTTTTTTTTTTTTTTGAAATTTTTAGTAGTCTTTTCTTTCTGCTAAGATAAATCAACAATTTTTACTTTTATACGGTTCTTTTTGTTGAGTTGACAGTTTTTTTTTGCTTTTTTGTTGTTTTAGATGAGTCATTAGAACGCAGCAGTTTAATGACAATTGAAAACAAAACCTGTCACAAAACTATCTGAAGAACAGTTAACTAATGGTCTAAGATCTTAGCATATTGCTTTTTCATTTTTGCTTCATCTTTTTTTTTTTCATCTACTTTTCTTCTTTCTTTGCTTAACAAATGCGGGTAATTAAAGATTGTTTGTTTATTTGTTTGCATTGTTTATTTGTTTGTTTGGTTTTTTTTTTACTTAGATTAAAAAATTGTAGGAAGAACAAAAAAAAGTGGGGGAAAAAAGAAAAAGTCAGCTTTTTTTTCCCGTAATACGATGTTACTGAAGTTTACTAAATTGTAAAAAAAAGCCTTTTATTGTTCATCTTTCTTCCTGTTTTATATATATTTTTTACAACGTTGTGTATTTTTGTATAGGTATAATTTTAAACTAGTCAAATAAGGGTAGATACAATCTGCTTTTCTGTTTCTTTTCTTAATTCGTACATTTTTGGCACAAATTCTGTAGTTGGATTTATTTGGTCAGATTGATCAGTTTCAATTTGACCTCCTGAAAAAAAAAGTAGCTAGATTACTTAATGATGACATTGGTTAACTGAACTGACCAACTGAATGACAGACTGACTTACTGATTCACTGACATTTGTTCATCCGTTCGTTCGTTTGTTCGTTCGTTCGTTAATGTGATGTTCAAACGCCACTTTAAACTGATGATCACTGATTATGGTTACTGAGTTGCATGTTTTGGTGTCCGCCATTTTGCTTTGATGCAGAAGCTTAAGCATTTCGGTCGCTATTTGCTTCAATTTAAAAGCATGCAGTCTTTGGGCTTCGGATGTTGTCG